ATTTATTCTAAATATTTACTCTATATATTTATTTTATATACTTATTCTATATATATAATTATTATATTTATTTTATATATATACTCTATAAACTTATTTTTTATATTTATACTGTTTATTTATTCTATATAAATATAAGTATTCGTATTATTATAGAAATAAAACATTAAGAATCACTCCTTTCTCTAGAAAATTCCTCAACTATACTCGTCTAGTACACTAGTGGGGTGGTTTATATAATATGTTAATATCTTTATAAATCTCATGTTTGCTTTAGTCGGCGCTTACAGCAGTCAGCTTCTAGCGCCTGCAGCCCCTAAGGCCCTCAGAGACACGTACTTTACTGATTTTCCAGCCCCCTAAATGATTCTCACTAGGCTTAATAGCTTTTATGAATATTAGTGCGCTTAAGCAACTAGCTTAAGTAAGACAAATTATCTACTTATTAGTTATTAGTTAATAATTATAAGGGGGGGCTACACTAGGAAAGCGTTAGGATATATAGCATAAGAAAAGGGGGAAAAAATCAAAAGGAAAATAAGTTTTATAAATTCCAAACAGCAAAAGCAGATATCATATTATAACCCGTTATATATAGATAACAGTTAACCAACCTACTTAGGCATTAAGTAGCTAAGACAGGATATTTATACTACAGAATTAAAGGGAATAACAGGGACTTACTTAGAATAGAAGAACTATAGTATAAGTTATATAATAATAAGATAAGAGAATAATTAGTAGAGTATAAGAAGAAATACTTAGCAATTAGTTAGTATTACTAACTAATTATAATTACTTATATACCTAGGTGATTACCTAAAAGTAAATAAAGGATATTATTTAGGACTTATATATAGTATAACCTAAGCTTTACTTAAGGTTAGACTTCTATAGCTCTTTAGTAATTAACTTAATATTTATCTTTATAAATACTCTTAGCTTACCTTTATTATAAATTACTTATTAAGTCTAAGACTAATCACTTTAGTCTCTAAAAAACTTAATCTACTATAGCTTATAACTTATAACTTAGACTATAACCTTAGTATACTATTATAATATATTAATCCCTAGCTTCTATTATTAGACCTTACTATTAGATAGCTAACTATAATATTTTAATTACTCCTATTTAGTAAGTTAACTATTAACACCTACTAATAATAAAAATAATAAGTATATCTTTATATATCTCTACTAAGTTACCTACTCTAGGGACCTCCTCCTCTTTATAGTAGCTAGTTTAAAACCTAGCTAAAGAACTTAAAGGAGCCCCTATAGTAGTAGACTCTAATAATAAGGTAACCTTAAAGAAAAACACTTATAAACACCTTTAAGCTAAAGTTAAAAAAGGAGATAATAATATCACTAAGGTCTAAACTATATATAATAATACTACTATAAAGCTTTAAAGCCTTAAAGAAATAATATAATAACTAAGAAATAGCCTTTAGCGTATTATAGACTTAGAAAATAAAGTAATCTAACTTAGAAGATAAAATAGTAATGCTAATATTAAAGAACTCTAGGAAGAAATCTATACTTTATACGTAGCTACTAATATTATTATAACCCCTACTAGAGGATAATAGAAACTTAAGCTTAGTACCTTAATTACCTATAATAATACCTCTAGATAACTTAAGTTATTCTTAATCTAAGTTAAAAACTATTAGAACTTCTACTATAAAGACTTTACTAGCTAAATTGAGAAAGTTATTTATACTACTACTTACTTATAAAGATAAGCCCTTAAATAGTTTAAACCTATCTAAGAAGAGTTCCTTAAATATAAAACCTTAAATAAATACTCTACTAAAACCTATAATATTTATAGTAGCTTTAAAGGATTTAAAGATACCTTCTACTCTCTTTTCTAAAACCCTAATAAGAAATAATAAGCTAAGAGAGACCTTATATAGCTATAATAGATAAAGTTAACTAAAGAATATATTACTATATTTAGATAACTTAGTATCTAATTTAACCTTACTAAAGAAACTAAGATCTTTATATTCTATTAAGAACTTAAAGATAAAGTTAAAAATAAGATTATTAAGATTAACTATTCTAAAGACTTTTTTTAGTATACTAACCTAGCTATTAAGATTAATAATTAACTTTTCGAACACTATAAGAAAAAAGGTAAAAAAAGATAAAAACTAAACTCTAGATATAAGTACTAATAGTAGCCTTATTAGAAGTTTAGCCCTTAGCAGAATAACTACAGACCTTATAATAACTAGAATAATACCTACTAGAGTATTACCTATAGATAATATAGTAGACCTATAGATCTTAGTATAATAACTAAACCTAATAATAAAAAACCTTAAAACCCTAAGTATTATAACTATAATAAATAAGGATATATTACTAGAAACTATAAGTAGCTTAAAAAGCTTCCCTAGAAGCTAATAACTAAATAACTATAATAAGTTAATACTATTATAAAAACCTTATATATATCCTAATCTTAAACTAGATATTATAATAATAACTATTAAATCCACCTTAAAGATAAGAAAATATTAAAATACTACTTAAAGGATAGTAACCCTAAACGTTCTAGATATAATATAACCACCTTAGATATATATCTAAGAACCTTAGTAATAATATATACTAATAATAATAAGATCTAAAGGAAAACTAGAGAATAACTAGATAAAATGCTCTAAGTATAGTAACTCTAACTAATTCCTAGTTCTACTTTAAAAATAACTAATAGCTAAGGTTAGACTAACTATAAACTCCTAAACTAAACTACCTATATAATACCTAAAGAACTAGAGAGTAATAATAAATAGAGACTTTTATACCTCTAGATAGCTAAAGAAATATACCTAGAAAGGATCTAAGAAGAGCTTTATAACCTACTTTAGGAAAGATAACTTAATACTATACTCTTATATATAGAACGAAAGAAGTAGGTATATAGAAATCCTATTAGAATTAAATAAATTAATTAAGAACTCTAAGAATAGATAAGAGAAGAATTTAATAATAAATTAGATTACTAATATAACCCCCTAGAGGAATAATAACTATTTAATCTTATAAATAATTAGACTTTTAGAAAAAGAGAAGGTTCTCTTTATAACTTAAATAAACCTTATAATATTATATACTAATATATTTAGGTAGAGATTACCTATAAACTTACCCCTAGTGTAGATAATACTAGCTCTAAAGAGGAATTTAAAAAAGATAACACACCTAAGTAAATTATATATAAGTAAATTAACCTATATAATAATAAATAATTTATTAAGCTTTATAATATACTTAATATAGAACTAAGAACATACTATACTTTATAACTTAGAATTAAAGATCACCTATACCTTAAAATTACTAACCCTAACTATTAACACCTCTTTTAAGTATAGTATTTCTTTAACTACTATAAAATCTATATAAGAGATAAATATAACTACTATTTCTAACTTAAGTAATATAATAACAGTCCTTTATAAAATATCTATACTATATATACCCTCACTAAATAGGAACTTAAAAAGTTTAATAGTAATATTACTATATTTACCCCTAACTAATAATTCCCTATAAAATACCTCTATAATAAATAGATAAAATAGGATAAATATTAATGCGATAAATATTAGATTTACTATAAAGAAAAAGTATATACCTAGAGAATTATAAAGAATAAACCCTAACCTCCTTAGGTTAGATATTATAAAAATAGCCTTATAAAGGTATAATAAGAAGGGAAGTAAATTACTTACCTAAAATACTTAGAGTAGTTAAAAAACTAAACTTACCTACTAATATAGAACTATAATAAGTAATAAGGAAAAGGTTTATTTACTAAATATTATAAAGATATTAAGGTAATATAGAACTTAAAGTTATTATTAATTAATAGATAATACTTACGCTAATTAATAATAAAGCTAAAACAAACTTTATTACCCCCTAAGCTATTAATAGGCTAAAAGTACTATAGAGAAGAAAAGAATAACTATATTAGTTATATATAGCAGAAGGAGAAGAATTTAAGTATAAAGGAGGTACTATCTATAATAAAACTACGCCCCTTAAGATAAGCTACTTAAATTAAAAAAAAAGAATTTAATTTAATATTACTAACTTAAGAATATATAATATAATACTAAGACTACTCTAGCTATAAATAAGTAACCTATAGATAGATTAGAGCAAAAGCTAACTCTATTAGGACTATAATAACTTAGTTTTTAAGTAGCTTTATTAAAAATAAGCCTTAAACAAGCTAATATTATATAAAATAATAAGATAA